GGGGGGGGGAACAACGCTGTGAATGTGGTCTCAGGGGTGACACTTCAGACCTGGGGGACTCTTCCAGCTTCACTCCACTTGCCTAGCCGTGCGAGGCAGAAGGGCCCCCGGCTGCAGTTACTGGACACGGCTCAGAGCAAACCATTCCCCTCCCCCACCCCCAGTAGGTATGACAGCCATGTCGGCTTTATTAATAACATATCATTTGACCGGCATCTCGCGGACAGAAGTACCCTGAGTCACGCTGTGGGCATGTGCTCTGTCGTCCAACCTCAGGATGGGGCACCAGGTGCTGTAGACCCATAGCGCGGAGAACTGCCTTAATCATCTCTGCCCTCCAGCCCCTTGCACGGGCCCTGGCACAGAAGGTGGCTGCATTGAAGGGAATGATCTCTGAGTCCGGGGAGGCTGGCACTCAGGGAGAGCAGGCCCATTCCTAAGCATGCTGGGACGGGCGGAGGGCACACCCCTGCAGGTTGATGGGACCGGTGGGAGAAATCGTAGGTGGCTCACAGTGGCAAGAGGACAGGATCTGGAGAGTTTGCTCAAGTTGCTTCTCCAAGCCTTGGTTTTCTTCTCTGTGAAAGGAGGAAACGATAATACTCATCCCAGAAGCCTCATGGGGTTACTGTAAGAATCGAAAGAGCTTTCTTTGCAAAGACATGAGCCACTCTACAAAATGTTCTCTGGGCCCGAGTGGCCCTTGCTGGCTCTGGATGGCTGTTCGTCTCCTGTAGCTCCCAAGGGCTCTTACCAGTGTGTGAGTTTATAAATGTTTTTACTCTTTTCGGAGTATTTACATTTTGAAAGAGAAAGTAAAGACGAAGAATCTTAAGAAAGACGGCTGAACGGTGGGATCTGTGCCCTCTGATTTTAATAAGCCACCTGCAGGCATCACTCCAGGGAAAGGGCGGCACCCAGCATGGCCCCTAAAGCTAGCTAGGGTTCCGGAAGCTAGGACTCTGACCTCTTCCCACTTCCCACCACCACTCTGAACCCCTCACGATAACGTCCATCTCCAGGGGTGCCTGGGTAGCTGAGTCACTTAAGCGTCCGACTCTTGGTTTCGGCTCAGGCCATGATCTCACAGTTCATGGGTTCGAGCCCTGCATCGGGCTCTGTGCTGACAGCTCGGCGCCTGGAGCCTGCTTTGGAGTCTGTGTCTCCCTCTCTCTCTCCCCCTCCCCCACTCGTGCTCTGCCTCTCTCTCTCTCTCTCAAAAGTAAATAAACATTTAAAAAATTAAAAAAAAAAAAGTCCACTTCCAGGCAGGCACCCAACCAGTAATAGACTAGACCCTCATCTAGCCCGGGACACTTAGCTCTGCATGTAGCACATGCAAGGTAGTCCTAGCAGCTGGCAGGGTCAATGTCAGTCCTTTCCTTCAGTCCCCAAGCTTCAGGATCAGGAAGGAAGAGGGTGAGACAATGTGCTGCTTCTTGGGTCACCTTGCCACCAACCTTCAAGGACTTCTGGGCAGTTGTCTACTGCAAACCTCAGACCACCAACCCACGTCCAGTCCTGATGGCTGATGGCTGGGCCCTGGTTAAGTGTGGCTCAGGGACGGGGCTGGGGGGTGGGGGGCAGGAGAGAAGAGAGGAAGAAAAAGAGAAAGCTGGGGTAAGTTCGGTGAGGTACCTGGTATTCTCATCCTAGCGCTTAGGCTCCGGGGTCTTTCCTGCTTCTCACTGCCCTTTATGACCACTGACTAGATGCCCTCCCCCGCCCCGCCCCGCCAGGCACAACCGGGGCTCAGTGAATTCTGAAGAGAGGGACGTGTATCACTTGGCGAGAACACACCCACGCAACAGACACAAGGCACCCACACAGAGCATGCAGGTCCACCCTCATCATCATCATTGGCCAGTGTCAAGAATGAGGAGTCTGGAGGCAGAAGACCCGGTTCCCAGATCTGGCTTCACCTCCATTAGCTAAGGGTCCCTGGGCAAGTTACTTAGCCCACGTCTCAGTTGTCTCATCTGCAAAATGGGTTATCATCAGGGACGATGCAGAGTCGGCATCGGACTTTCTTGAGATAATGCACACAAAGCATTTGTAACATATAAAGCATAATACAGGTACTTTATATGCTATACGTTCGCTACCTTGACATGTACTAGCTTGGCTTACCACCCACTGCCACAAACTCCCTAAAGCGCGCAGACTCCTTTCAAGTGCTTCGAAGACCCCTCACAGCTCGTGGTCCTGGGTGCCACGCCCGTACACATTTCTACACGGCATACTGTATAAATATAGGTTTTATTAATAATGGGTGAAACCCCACAAATACAACTGGCATCTCTGGGTGATGGCGGGAATCCGTGGCAGGACAAGAGAAGGAAGAGTGGTATGTGTACAGAAATCAGGGGGGCGGGAAAGAGCCCTGGGGGAAGGGGAAATCAGAAGCGGCATGAGCCTTGGACCTACCACAACGGCCAGACATGTTCTGTGTCTGTCGCTCTGGTGCCCAGGGGCCGCCTTGGCTGATGGGAAGGGCGTGGAGAGACCCAGACGGGAGTTTGAATGAGCAGCAAGCGGCTGGGGAAGGGGTAAGAGAGTGAGAATACCAGCCTGACGCACAAGAGAGGGGGCATGGGGTGGCAGGCGGCCAAGGCCAACTGATGCCCGTGCTTGTGCTTGTGTTGGCTCCTGAACTCCAGAGAGATAGTGCCTTGTGCCGCCCCTGACTTGGAGGGGAAGGAAGACTCGGGGGTAGACACCTGCAGATCCTGGAGACACCCCGGGTAGCACCAGCCTCAACCTTACAGTCCAAGCAGCATGCCCAGGAGGAGGCCGGCACTGCCCTTCCCGCAGCTCCCACCGCCACCACTGCCACCATCGCTCCTCGGAGCCACGGCGGACAGCGAGTGTGTGTAGGTCTGAGATTGCCTGTTCGCACGTATGCGCCCGTTAACTCTGGGGAGGGGAGGGAGTTTTGCAGGACCGGGTAGGAGAAGCAAGAAAGGAAGCTTGGTCTTCTCCTACTCGTGCCCCAGAATAAAGTGCATTCTCCAGTTCCAGGGGCAGGTGAGAGAGAAACACAAACATTATTGCAGAGGTGCCACCAGACCCTACCCCCACCAAAGGGGACGGGGAAGGGTAAACGGGGCGTCCCGTGGCCCCAGGCCTCTCCAATCCCCAGGATTGGGAGGGGCGACCCAGACAGAAAACCCAGCTTCTGTCCCAGCAGATTGTCCAAGGCGGCCAGGTCTGGGGGTGGGGAGAAGGTGAGGAGGAGGAACAGACTTCCAGAGCCTTCCCTGCTCCGTTCCAGTGTCCAAATGGGACTTCCAGGGGGCCCCACCAGGGCCCAGCCCTGGAACCTGAACCTCAGAACAGTCCAGTTTACAAACACTTGTGTGGCGGGGACCCCCAGAGGAGGCCACTTTGGTCAGTTGTAAGTGGGGGCCTGGAGACCCTGGGGCTCCCAGGCGGACAACAGAGGAGGGTGCCGAGGGCGGGAAGGAGGGCGGCAGCCTCCTAGTGGTCTTTGCATGCAGATGTTGGAGGGACTAGAGAGGAAGCTACAAACTGCATCAACTGGGGAAGACTCCTGGGCATGGCGAGAGGGCTGGAGCCCCGGTTGCCACGGCCACGGCCGGGAGCGCAGTCCAGCAGCCAGCCTGTGGAGCAGCTGAGAGAGGGGAGGATGGCTGCACCAGCAACCAGTGCCAAAGTCTACGAGGTTAAAACAGTCCCAGAGGGCTGGGGCTGGGGGCTTCCGCTGCGGGGGCTGGGGCGCAGGCCAGGGCAAGGCTCTATCTCTCTGACTTGACCCGGTAACGGAGCACAAGGTACGCCAGCAGCCGCAAGGCCAGGAAGAAGATGCCCAAGACCAGGAAGTCCATGTAGAGCTTGGCGTCCTCCACATCCAACGCTCGGAGAATACTCTGTGGATTCTGGAAAGGGCAGTGCTCCTCCAGGCAGGTCAGATCTTCTCGATCCATGCCATAGATGGTCAGAATCACACCCTCAAAGCCATACCTAGGCACGTGGGGACATCAGAGCAGGATACAGAGCATAGGTCACTGTTCCCTGGGCAAACCGCCAGGGCCCAGTTGCAACTCTCTCAGCCCTGGGGCCTGGGCTCCTGCCGGAGG